ACACCCGTTCTCCGATCTCAACGATCCGCCGACCTCGCGAAATATCCACCCTTGCGACAATACCCGCGACACGCGTGCACGTTTAAATCGCCGATTTAAAGGCCCGCGACTAACACGTGCGACACCGCCGCCGCCGCGCGCGCCCCGCGCCACCGAACTGCGCACCGCGATCAGTATCGCGCCGACCGCCCGAGCGATCTCTTATTTTGTATTTACGCATTGTCCGCGCGCCGATCGCCGCCTCGCCCGTCTACGGCCACGAATATTTAACGCGATGATTCGGTGCATTCCATCGCACCACTCTTAGTTAAATAAACATCGTTATTTATTATCAATCTCGCCTCACAATTTAATCACGCCTTTCTGTCTCCAACGTCCTCGCTTCTCCTCCTGGTAACCGACTGACCGCTCTCCGCGCGGAAAAGCGAGACCGTTATAATTTTTTAATTTTATTTTTTATTTTTTTTAAACACTTATCTTTGTGACAAATGCGATGTCTTGTGCATGTCCTTTATAGATATTATATCTTATTTATTTGATTAGAACATAATGCTTTAACAATTGATGAAAAACAGGCAATTATCTTTATTGTATATTATTTTTTGTAGGACTTTTAAGAGAAAAGAAAAGATTATTGCTTAACTGTTCGGTATATTTAAGAACTGCTTTTACAATTGTGTGTTATTCGTTTCACGCCGGGCTTGCCGATCCTCACGCCTTTCTTAACGTTTTCGAGAAGATCACACATCTCGTACGTGAGAATCACTCGTATACATTGTGTTTGTACTTTTAATGCATATTTACCTATTAATTATCTATAATCTCGACCATTCTGACATAGTGACTGTTCCGGTCCTTTTAACCAAAATTAACTAACTAAGCTAATCAATTTATTTGTCAAATACTTATGCAGCATTAAATCCGTGCGCCACCATCAACCTATTATACTTTATATATGCGCTCATACATCATACAGATATAACAAAAAATAATTACAATCCTTTGTCAGTCGTCAATATATTTTGTTTTATCATTTGCATTCCATAATTTTTTTTTGCGGTCAAAATTAACCATTCTAGTGAAAGGGATTTGCGATACCTGAAATCCCTCGATCCCTCTTTGATAATATATCTGTCATTCCTTAGTATTTTATTAATAACATAGAGGCCTTTAAATTTTAGTATCAATTTCTTATTTACATTAGGAGTAACGTCGATGTTTCTAATTAATACATAATCTCCTACTTCATATTTAATAGCGCATTTATGTTTCTTATAAGGATTAGTTTTCTTTTTGACAATTAATAATATTATTTGACGCGTAATCTTGTAGTTTTTCTAAATTTCTATCATCGTCGAAGTACTGATCAAAAATCGATCGCAAAACATTATTAGCCTGACCCCGCTGCTCAATGCCAAATATTAGGTGTACAAAAAAGTTCTGAGCTTTTTTTTGTAAAATTCAATCTTTATTCAAAAACAAACAAAAAAATATTAATCAGCGAAATATTCCCCGTTTGCATCAACGACCTTTTGCCATCTTTCGGGTAGCTTGCGAATTCCTTGACGATAGAAGCTCACCGGCTTCGAAACGATAAAGTCGTCAATGCATTTTCGTATCTCTTCAAATCTCATCTCGAAATGTGTATCAGCCAAATGATGCTGCAGCGACCGGAATAGGTAATAATTGGAAGGCGCCATATCTAGGCTATACGCGGCGTGCGGGAGAAGTTCCCAGCCTAACGCAAAGATATGATCCTGAGTCGCTTTCGCAACATGTGGTCGAGCATTGTTATGAAGCAAGATCACTTTACGACGTCCTTGGTCAGTAAATGGCCTCTTTTCTTCTAATGCATCGCTCAAATTGGTCAATTGTTGTTGGTAGCGGTCTGCCGTGATTGTTTCACCCGGTTGTAACAACTCGTAATACAACACACCTTTCCAATCCCACCAGATACAAAGCAAA